CTCCAGGGGGAAATCTTGGGCCCCACTTACTGATGATCTGCACGAGGACATAGGTCCCACGCTCCTGCAGCAGGGCGCTGCCCATGGAAGGGGCCTGGGAAGCCCCCTCTTCCAGTCCCTCATCCAGACTCACCAAGTGCCCATCCTCAGCCAGGAGGGCAATGACCGCTGGGAGGGCAGAGAGGGAGGCAAGGCAGGGCTGGCACCTCTGCCTGGAGGGCCCTCGGCCCCTCCTCCCCAGCACCCCTCCCTGCCCCCTCACCATCTGGGGGCACCTGCCCCCTCTGCCTCAAGTGGGTGGTGAGGGTCACTGGGCTGCACCAAGTGTTCACCAGCTCCCAGCAGCCAGCTGTAGGGGCGGGGCAGAGGTGAGCGAATGGGACCCTCTGCTTCCCCCAATCTGGGACCATCTGTCTCCCATCTCTTCTCTAACCAGAGCAGGGAATAGGACTCCAGGATTAAGACTGTACCCTCCTCCATCCATCTCTTGAGATGCTGGTGACCAGGGCACACAGCTCTTGCCTCCTGCACTGGATGCCCCCCTCCCGCTCCAACGCTACCTCTGCACAAGATCTCCCTCCAGCACCGGACCCCCCACCTCCCATCCCGGCCCCACCTGCCACCGAAAATCAGGAAATCTGCACCTGATGTACCCTGAAGCTTGAGGACCACTGATCGAATTAGAGATTGTGTAATTTAAAAACACACCCCATGGTGATGTGGTGGGTGCTCTTCTAGAGGAGCCCATGGGAACTTCCCAGGACCCAGCCATCGGGGTTGCCCCTCAAGGGACTCCAAGCATTCTGTCTGCTTCTTCATAGAGCTGTTTCCCTAACCACCCCCATCCTCTTATGTAAGTGCATCCCCCTTCCCCACACTGCCTCCCCAATCTCCCCAGGGCAGAGGGAAGCATGCTTCTGAATGTACCACCCCCCTACCCATCTGAGGAACAGGGGACCCCACTTACCTCCAAACATCACTTTGATAAACATGGCTGCAGGGGAGAGGAGACAGATGCGGGGGCTTTGATCCCCTAACCCCCGACTTTCCAACTAAGGAAGGATCTACGGCTGAGATCTATTCGGGGAGGGATGGCACTGCCAGGAAATGTGTATGTGTGTGGGAATGGGTGGGTGGATCCGGGCCTAGGTCCTTGCTTGGCTACCCTTGGGGCTGGACCCCACCAGTGTAGAGGGGTCCCTTTGGCTTCCTCTTCCTCCCGCCGGCTGGGTCGGAGCAGCCCGAGGAGACTGAGGCCTTCTCAGCTTCCAAGCTGGTCTCCATGGCAGTGGGAGCTGCCAAGTCATCTAGGCAGGAAATGCCTTCCCCTGCAGTATCCCGGTAACAGGATCTGGGGCGGGAGTATGGGCACTCCCTAAGGCAGGGCTACAGTGGGGTCTCAAGCCTTGTGGTCCAGGGATGGCCCAAGACCACATCTCCCCACCAGTAGAGACCGAGTTCCCAGGCTGAAAGGGGGGAGATTCCTGGATCGGGGCCCCTGGCCCTGGGGGTTTTCCCAGGTGGTAGGGCTGTGGCCGTGGCCGTGGCGGAAGCAGGGGTTCTTACCACCCTTGCAGTTCCCTACCTACTAAGACCCTCTTCCCTGTGTTTCTTTCTTTCTTTCTTTTTTTTTTTTTTTAAGATTTTATTTATTTGACAGAGAGAGCACAAGCAGAGGGGGAGAGAGGGAGAAGCAGGCTCCCTGCTGAGCAAGGAGCCTGATGTGGGACTCGATCCCAGGACCCTGGGATCATTACCTGAGCCGAAGGCAGACGCTTAACCGACTGAGCCACCCAGGCGCCCTTGTGCTGTTTTTCCTCTCCTTCTCTGCCTTCCTCCTCACCTCCAGCCTCCCCTCTCTTTCCTCTGTCTTTGGGCAAGTTTCTTGAGGTATGATTTACATACAGTAAAATTCACCCTTTTTCGTGTTTTTGAGTTTTGACAAATCTCATAGAACCACCACCACAGTTGGGAAGCAGATCATTTCCCTCACCCCCCAGAATCCCTTTATGCCCCTTTGTAGTCCATGCCAGTCCCTGGCCACCACAGCTCTGTGTTCTGTCCCTGCCTTTTCCAAAATTGTATAAAGGGAATCATAGAGCATGGAGCCTTTTGAGTCTGGTTTCTCTCACTTAGCATGAGATTCACTCAATAGCTCATTCCTTCTTACTGCTGAGGAGGGTCCCATTGTCTGGATGTGCCAGTTTGTTGATCCATTCACCTGCTATCGTTTGGATTGTTTCCAGTTTTTTGCAATTATGAACAAAGCCATATAGACATTGGCAGACCGGATATTGTGTTTCTCTGCCTCTCCATCCATGCCCATCCTTTCTTTGACTTTCTCCCTTTCTCTCTCTCTTCATCATCTCCTTTCCTTCCTCCCCCTAGCACCCCCTCTGTCTCTGTCTCTCAGTTTCTGTCTCCTGCCCCCTGTCCATGAGCCCCTACCAGACCCCTTCAGCCAGGGTGCCAGGTAGGTGTCTGGAGCAGGCTCCTGACCTTTGCCAGCTCCCTTTCCCCAAGGTTTGGGAAATGCACCCCCCCCCAGGGTGATTAGGCTATTTGTCCTGCCTTCTGGGCCACTGACTCAGGAGGAGGACTGAATCCTCCGCGCAGCTTGCCCAGCATCACACTGCCTCTGGATAAGCACTCAGCTCAGTGCTTCCCCCTGTAGAAGGTGGGGGGCGGGGGGTAAGAACACGGCTCAGCAGAATCCTTGTGAGGATTAAATGTGGTAACACTTTCTTTCTCTCTTTCTCTTTTTTCTCTTTTTTCTTTTCTTTCTTTCTTTCTTTCTTTCTGTCTTTCTTTTTTCTTTTCTTTCTTCTTTCTCTCTCTCTCTTTCTTTCTTTCAAGTAAACTCCACACCCAGTGTGGGGGTTGAACCCTGAGATTAAGAGTTGCATGCTCTACCGACTGAGCCAGCCAGGTGCTCCTTAAACGTGGTAACACTTTAAAGTGCTACCTTGGTGCTCAGGATGCAGGAAGCGCTCAGAATCAGCACCGTGCAAACAAGCAGTGTTTCGCAGATTTATTTAAACACAGGACACTTTCTTCCCAGGACACCACTGTCACTGGGGCCCTGTGTCCTGCAGAGCACAGCTCAGGAGGGGCTGCAACCATATTCCAGAAGAATGTCCATGCCAAGCCCTGGAGCCTCAGCTAACAACCATCACTGTTGTCCCAAGGGTTCATTTTCACTGCTGCCGTAACAGAGTCTTTGATCTTGAGGGTTTTGGAGATGCCCTAAGGAGATGTTAGAAACAGAATGTGACCCGTTGGAGGGGGGGCTTTATAACCTCCCCCAAGGGAGATTTTAAAGCTTTGAGTTAATGAGAGCGCACCGTTTTACTTTTATTATTATTTAAGTATGCTAAGGCCAGCAGACCAGGAGATTGCCATTGAGAAGACAGTTTGTTCCCCACAGATCTCTAGGGGATGGGGTGTGCCGCACTGCAGAGGGACACATGGGGAAGCATCCGGTAGGTCAGCAGGCAGAGGGCGAGAGGGAGCCTTGTGGTTTCTGAGGGAAAGAACAGGTGAGGCAGAGTGAGCAGGCTCCAGAGTGGCTAGTTTGAATAATTCCAGGGCTCTGGGGCATAGGGGCTGTCCCTGGTTGTCAGGTACCTGGCCCTGGGTGACTAAGGCAGGAAGACAGTAGCCCAGAGTATGAGAGCCATAGAGGAGGTGGTTGGGGGTGTGGGCTCTGGATTGGTTTGCATTTCATAAATACCCGCTCAGGTGAATTATTTACTATCTCTAGGAACTGGCTAGCCCTGGGAGGGTCAGTCCCTCCAAGGTCAGCAAGGCCCCAGATATCAAAGCATCAAAATACAGAAAATGCAAGGCATGATCAATACACGCACTGTGCCTGGCACTGAGCAAATAAATCCCATCTACTTCTTCACACCCCTCGGGCTGGCACTATGCTCATCTTCATTTTCCAGAGGGGGTAAGGAACTCGGCTGCAGTTGTGCAGTTAAGGAGGATCTGAGATCCAAGTTTGAACCCCAACTTGGGAAGTCAGCTCCTCCACCCATCCGGCAGATTAAAGGGACTGACCATGTCAGGTGTTGGCGAGGGTATCTCTGGACTTCTCCTACCTGCTGGTGGCAGTGCAGATCGGTACAACCATGTGGGGGACACTGGTAGTATCTACTAAAGCTAAATGTACATTTTCCCTCCGCCCAGCAACTCCAGTCCTGGGTGTCTACCAAAAGAAATGAGAACACAGGTGCATCAAAGACATTGACAGGGATGTTCACAGCAGTTTTATTTGTAATGGCTAAAGACTGGAAAGCACCCAAATGTGTACTAACAGAAGAATGGAGAAGCTGTGGATACGCTGTGGTTTATCCACATGTAACTATGAGAATGAATTAGACATTGCTGCACACATATGGATGACTCTCCTAATGTTGAACAGAAGAAGCAGGAGCAAAAGGAACGCACTGTCATTCCACTTAGAGTTGGTGTTCTAGAGCAAGCAAAACGGATCTAAGTGATTGAAGTCAGAATGATGGTTACCCTTGGGATTAGAGAGGCTGTTACTGATGGGGATGGCACATGAGGGAGCCTTCTGGGGAGATGGAAACATTCTAAATCGTCATCTGGGTAAAGGTTGCGGCGGTGGAGATAGATATATATATCTATCTATCTCTGGATAAATAAAATCATTAAGCCATACACTTAAAATCTATGCACCTTATCCTACGGGAGTTACACCTCAGTAAAAAAGCATCTGCCTGCTCTAACTGCATGTGTATGTGTGGATTTCTGGACTCCTGTTCTCAGAGGGCCCTGTGGAGCCAGGATCCCGACATTTGGGAAGATAAGGCCCGGCTGTTGGGCCCCAGCCACTATACCCCCATGCCCCCACCCCTAGTCAATGGGTTGATTTGCATGCCTTGTCATGGTCCAGGGGCTTCCCCTGCCTGTGCTCTGAAGCACCTGGAGCACTTCCAACAGAACAACTCCTGTCTGCCTTCCTGCCTCTAGCCATGGCCTGCTGGCATCTGGCCCTCCTTCTGACTGGGGCCCTCCTGTCCGGTGAGCTCCCACTAGGCCTGGCTCACCTGGGGTGGGGTGGGGGATGGTACTGGCTCCAGAAGGCCCCTGCAAGGAAGCAAATCAATGTGGGTAGTGGGAGGGTTCTAGAAGGGGCATTAAGGTGGAGGGGAGAACTGGCTACAGGTGGCTCTGCCCTAGACCTGGGGCAAGTCACTTCTCTGTGTGGGCCTCAGTTTCCCCATTTGTGAATGACCAGATTGTTAGGATCCCTTCAGGTTCTGATTCTTTGGGGACTCAGAAGAGATTGGAAGTGGTCGGTCACCTTTTTAGTTTTTCACATGGGAAGCTATCCCGAGGGCTTCAGGGACAAACTCTCCTTGAGAAGATTCTCAGCAGCCAGTTGTCTGAGGTTGAGCTGATGGGTGGGACAGCCCAGGAGGCTTCCTGGTGGTGGTAGCCAGAGTCTGGAAGAGCCAGTGTGACTGAGGGGTAAGGAATGGGGGTGGGCAGAGAAGGGCCCAGAAGCCACCAGTCCCATACTCTGAACTCTAGGTGCTCAACTGAACACAGATTCTTGCGAACATAGAACAAATGAGGACTTAGGGGTTGCCATCTTTGTTCTCCATCCATCTCAATTCCATGGCACTGGGCTATGAGGCTTTCAGGAGTCAGAGTCTCCTTGGAATCTGACCAAGCCTTCGTGGGGTGGGGACAGGAAGAAAGAAGCCCATGGGTCTCTCTCTCTCTCTCTCTCTCTCTCTCAGTCTCTCAGCCAGGCTTGGCCCAGCCAGATGCACTGCTGGTCTTCCCAGGCCAGGTGGCCCAACTCTCCTGCATGCTCAGCCCCCACCATGCCACTGTCGGGGAGTATGGCGTGTCTTGGTATCAGCAACAGGCAGGCAGTGCCCCCCGATACCTCCTCTACTACCGCTCAGAGGACGACTACCACCGGCCGCCTGACATTCCTGCCCGCTTCTCGGCAGCCACAGACGCCGCCCACAATGCCTGCATCCTGACCATCAGCCCCGTGCAGCCTGAGGACGACGCAGATTATTACTGCTCTGTGGGTTACACATCCTAGGGGTGGAGTGTAGGATGAGTGCCTCTCGTCTGCCTCTCATTTCTGCACTCTGACCTTGGGCCCCCCCTCTTTCTTCAAACCTTGATATTGCTCCTCTGTAAAATGGGTTAATAATATTAAACCTGTAAAAAATAATATCAAACATGTGAACAATAACTATTCGGAGGGGGCCATGAAATTCCTGCTGAAAAAGTGACTGGGAGTGTGGGGGTAGGGATTCTGGGGATTGTTACAGAAGAGGAAGCACCTGACACCCTTGGGGCAGGGCCCAGCCTCTCTACTGGCCCCTAGGGGGCTTAGACTGGTGGCCTGGGCTTCCTGTGACCTGAGGAGCTGGAGGAAGAGAAAAAGGAACCAGCTCCTAGCTCTGCATGGCTGGTTGTGGTTCAGTGCTCAAGGGGTGATTGGACAGGGTCCTCATGGAGCCCAGGCTGCTAGCTTGGGGGCCGAGGGGAGCCCCTGCTTACTCCTTGATAGGGCAGGAAGGCAGGTGTAAGTATGTATGTGGTGTGGGGGCACTCAGAGGCACCCCTGGGCTTAGACGGAGGATATTGATTGCAGGTGGGCAGCATCTCTCCAGTTAGGAATGTGTGTTCTACTGATCCCGTGATAGGGCTGTGCCCCCCTCCCCCACCAGTTCTTCCACAGGGAAGGTTGTACCTCAGCAGCTGCACCGAGTGGGGAGCACTGGGTGGAAGAGCAATCATTAGAAGCAGAGCTGAGCGTCTGGGTTGGGAGGGGCGGGGCTCAAGAACACACTCTTCTTCGCTCCCGGTTCCTTATGTCTGGCGGTCATCCCTCACATGCACTGGAGTTGGGGGTCTCCAGGGTCCAGCCTACACTCCCAGCAGTCTCCTGGGCCCTCACTCGGCCCCTTCTCATCTCAGTCTCTGCTGATACCAGCTGGGCAGGCAGGACCGGGACTACCCAGGAAGGGTGAATCATGCAGGACCTCTGGGCCTGTGCGGGGTGACGGGCTCCACAGCTCTGGGAACCCCTTCCCTTCTCCTGAAGACACCACCCCCCGCGGCCTCTGGCTCGCCCCCACCCACAGGGCAAGTGCCGCGGGAACTCGGCCGCCTGCCTGCTGCTCTAGGCCCGCCCGCCCTTCCCGGCCTCAGTTGCCTCTTCTGCACTCCCGCCAATGGCTGACCAGCTGTGTTGCCCACGACCAGGATTTGCTTTGGGAAAGGCCCGGGGCCCAGTCCCTGTCCTGGTGCCCCGAGCCGGAGCTGCTACGCGCGCGATCACCAGGCGCCGCAGGAGCACCGAGACGCGGGGACCTCCACGCGGCCTAGAGCGGTCCCGGAAGTGCCCGCGGGCGAGGGGGCGGGGCTCCGGGCTCTCGGGCCGCCGCGGGCTCCGCGTCAGCAGCAGCCGCAGAGCGAGGCCGGGTCGGCCGCGGGTTGGAGCAGCTCAGGTGCGGCCCCGCCCCGCCCGCCCGCGGCCCCGCCCCGGCCCAGGTGAGTGGCTCGGCGTCGGCCGGTGTGACCACCTGTCCCTCCGGTGGCCTGGGGTGTGGGCGTCCCTCATCGGTGGGAAGCATGTAGGGGCTCCCGCATCGCCGCTCGGGCGGCGTGTGCGTGTCCGCAGCCGCTCGCGGGCTTCTAGCCAGGAAACCCTGCGGACCGAGGGTCTCCCGGGTGCCCAGGCCCTGAGGGCTCCCCGAAGGAAAGGGTGACGGATGCAGGAGGAGCCGAGGAAGGCCCCGAGAGAGGTGGGAAGGTGGGGTTCCAGACCTTTGAATCTTCGGTCCAAAAATATTTAAAACGTTGAGGACAGATAAAGAATTGCCAACTTTATAAACAGAGTGGAGACTTCAGCATGTAGGTGGTTCATAGTGGGAATGGAAAACCCCTAAGGAGGGAACCTTGGAAACACCAGGATTTAACAGGTGGGTGGAAGAGGAGTTGCAATCACAGATACCAAGAAAAGGGGATCAGAGAGCATTAAAACTGGGGGGGGGTGGTAAGGGAGAGAACTTTCAGAAATGAAGGGAATAAAGCAGGAGGTGGGAAGGGGGCTGGGGGGTTCAAAACCTTGAGACGTTCAGGTAGGCAAGGTGGGTTTAATGAAGGGGTGGATCCGTATTATCACATCTTCCAGGTTTTCAAGAGAAAGCGTGAAACCTACAGAGTTTCCAATATTGGCAGCTAAGTCAAACAAAAAGAAAAGGTTCCAACTCTTTTCGAGCCAAACAAAACGTGTCTGTGGCAGGATCCCCAGGCTGCCAATTTGCAACTTCTGAAATGAAGGGTTTTGAGAAGGGAGCTATTGGTGAGCACGGCCAAAAGGGGTGGGAAAGTGAGGGCTGAGAAGAGAGGGATTGGCCATAAGGAGGTCACTGGATGCAAGAGCTGAAGATGCTGAAGTCCCAGCTGAAATTGGAAACTTGAAATTTGTCTCCGTGCGGTACACAGTCCTATGATTTTCTTTGGCAACATTTAACATCTTAGGAGGAATTGACGGAGAACGTTGGTATTTGGCAGCTGGTTGCAGCAGGGCAGGGTGGTGAGGACCGTGATGCTGATCAGAGTCTATAGTTCGATCCATGATAGAGTCTAAGCTAGACGGGGAAGGGTGGACTAGAAGAGAGAACCAGGGCGAAATTGGTGGGTTGTTAGACCTGATGAGATCAATCTAGAGAACCTGAAGGACCGGAGATTATGGTTGCTGAAGAGGGAGGGAAAGGGAGTTAAGTGGTCAAAGAATTTTTGAGCATACTTCAGTTCTGTGCTTCTTTTCACACCTGGCCTTTTTACTGCCTTATAATTCATTAAAAAAAATCATTTCCAAGTAGGAATGAGTTCCATCATGACTATGCTGATTAACTTAGTGTGTTTTTATTTTACTTTATTTATTTGACAGAGACACAGTGAGAGAGGGAACACAAGCAGGGGGAGTGAGAGAGGGAGAAGCAGGCTTTCCGCGGAGCAGGGAGCCCAACACGGGGCTCGATCCCAGGACCCTGTGATCATGATTGAGCCGAAAGCAGACGCTTAACAACTGAGCCACCCAGGCGCCCCAACTTAGTGTGTTTTTTGAGCTGCTTAACTATCTGTGTTTCAGTGTACTGCTAATAGTACCTTTGTATAGAGTTGTGAGGATTAAATGCAAATGTGCTTATAGAAGGTCTAGTAATGCCTAACACATAGTAGATGCTCCATAAACATGAGCTGTTATCATTATCATGGTACCTGGGGTTTCCCTTTAGCTTGCATGGCAATTTCTGAATGGGGTCCTGAGGGGCTCCCTCAGAGGTCACCACAGTGGGATGGGGGGTGTTCCAGGATCCGTCCATGTCCCTATGAAAACAACCCCCATCAACTGGAGCAGCTCTGCTTTTGTCTTTTATTTATTTATCTCTCCCAGACGATTTATTTGAATAAAGAGTTCTGTGATCTCCTTCCCTCAAAAAAGTGTGGCCATCAGTTCTAGCACAAAACCAAGTGGCTTTTCCTCCAGTCTTGTATTTATGCAACCAATGTGTGTGGAGATTGTCCTGTTGTGCTGGGGGCTGGGGCTGGGGGCTCCACAATGAAGGGAGCTCTCAGGCAGTGGTGGCGGGAGTCCTGACAGCCCATGTTTGCTATCCAGGATGGTGAGTGCTGTGATGCACACGTGCACTGAGCTCTGCAGGCACTGAGGGGGTGTGCCTGAGATTAACAGTCTTAGGGTACAGAAAAGGGGACGTTAGGACTGAGTCTGGGAAGATGAGCCAGTGGCAGTCTGAGAAGAGAGGGGAACCTGTTAGGAGGAGGAAGCATTTAGGGCTGTGTGGAAGGAGAGGCTGGAGATGGGGCTGGAAGGGCTAGTGCTGTGAAGGGCTTTGGGAAGGATTTGGGCTGCCGCAAGATCCTGAGACAGATGATCAGGCCTGTGTTTGGGGTATTTGACGCTGGTGTCAATGTAGACAACAGACTTGAGGGAGGAGTAGAAGCTGGAGGCAAGTGGTCATTTGGGAGGTGAGTATGGAAGTAATCTGGGGAGTTGCCCTGAGGCCTGGGCTGCTGACTGACAGAGAGCCAGAGCCTCTTAATAAAGCCTCAGGAAATGGACAGACTAGGCGTATGGGGTGAGAGAGGGGGAAGGTCTAGGCTGACTCCCAGGGTTGTGGCTTGGGCACCAGGCTGGAGGGGGTGCAGCTAACCTAGTATAGAAGGGAAGTTTGCGCTCTCTCCAAAACCCGCATCCCCAAGGTCCTCCATTAGCCAGAATCTTGCCCCCTTTCCACAATGGCCCCACTCCTGCTCTCGTCTACTTTTCTGAGCACCTTCAGTCTTTAGATTCTAGACCCCATGGTGTAGCACTTGATTCTGTCTGTCTGTCTTCTTTGTAGTTGTTTCTGATCAATCAGACTTGTCCCTAACTCAGTGGGGATCATCTCAAGGGCAAGCTTGTATCTCATTTTGTCTTGTCCACGAAAGATTCTGGCACAGGAAGAAGGTATGTACTAGGTGCTTGATTTGACAATATCCCTTGTTTTCTTCTCAGATTGGGAGAACAGTGTGTCCTTAAGAAGACTATCTTTCAAGAAATACAGTCACTGGGGGATGATACTAGAGTCACAATGGAGGTTCCCCCAGCAGCCAAGTTTGGTGAGACCTTTGTGTTTGAGGACGGCTTAGAGATGCAGCAAGAATTCTTCCCAGAGGAGGACCTGGGGGACCCTTTTCTTCAGGAAAGAGGTTTAGAGCAAATGGCTGTTATTTATAAGGAGATCCCTCTCGGGGAGCAAGACGAGGAACATGATGATTATGAGGGCAATTTCAGTCTGTGCTCAAGTCCTGTTCAGCATCAGAGTACCCCCCCAGTAAACAGATCCCAGGATGATGAAATTTTCAACCCAACCTTCTTCCAGAAATCAGACCTTAGTATGTGTCCGATAATCCACAGTGGAGAGGAACCCAATAAACACAGTTGTGAGAAGGCAAGCAGGGCACACTCAGGACCTAACGAACCTCACAGAACTGCGCCACCTGCAAAACCCTATGCGTGTCGGGAATGCGGGAAGGCCTTCAGCCAGAGCTCACACCTTCTCCGGCACCTGGTGATTCACACTGGGGAGAAGCCCTATGAGTGCTGTGAGTGCGGGAAGGCCTTCAGCCAGAGTTCACACCTTCTCAGACATCAGATAATTCACACTGGGGAGAAGCCCTACGAATGTCGGGAATGCGGAAAGGCCTTTCGCCAGAGCTCAGCCCTCACGCAACACCAGAAAACCCACACTGGGAAGAGACCGTATGAGTGTAGGGAATGCGGGAAAGATTTCAGCCGGAGCTCAAGTCTCAGAAAACATGAGAGAATCCACACAGGAGAGAAACCTTATCAGTGTAAGGAATGTGGGAAATCCTTCAACCAGAGCTCCGGCCTGAGCCAGCATCGGAAAATCCACACCTTGAAGAAGCCTCACGAATGCGCTCTCTGTGGGAAAGCCTTTTGTCACAGGTCCCACCTCATTCGGCACCAGAGGATTCACACTGGGAAGAAACCTTACAAATGTGAAGAGTGTGGGAAGGCCTTCAGCCAGAGCTCCAACCTCATTGAACATCGCAAGACCCACACCGGCGAAAAACCCTACAAATGCCATAAGTGTGGGAAAGCCTTCAGCCAGAGCTCCTCCCTCATCGAGCACCAGCGCATCCACACTGGGGAGAAGCCCTATGAGTGCGGCCAGTGTGGGAAGGCCTTCTGCCACAGCTCTGCCCTGATTCAGCACCAGAGAATCCACACTGGGAAGAAACCCTACGCGTGCAATGAGTGTGGCAAAGCCTTCCGGCACAGGTCAGCCCTTATTGAGCACTATAAAACCCACACCAGAGAGAAGCCCTATGAGTGTAACAAATGTGGCAAGTCCTTCAGGGGAAGCTCACATCTTATTCGGCATCAGAAAATCCATGCTGGGGAGAAGCTCTAGAAGGAGGAGCTCACACCAAAGCCTGAAACCCTTTCCCAGATGGAACCCACACCCCATCGCCGTGTCTGTAAGACCCCACCCACCTCCCTGATCCCAGGGCCGAATGGAAACATGCCATCCCCAGAGCTTCTGGCCACCCACACTGGCAGCCAGGCCCCCTCGTTCCCCCCACCCAGGCGCCCCACACACAGCAGGTTTACTGAGTGGGAGGGAAGGTGGAGTAATGGGAAGGCCGCTGAATCAGAGGCACACCCAAAAAGAGACCTGGCCTCTGATTTGACTCCCAAGCCTGTGAGATTGAGTTTTGCCATCTCTTCACCTTTGTTAAAATCCAGAAGAATAAACACCAGAGGGAGAAAGTTGAGTTAAATGCACAAATATGTCAGATGAACTCTCTAACGTCAGCTGCAGTCTGGCACTTTGAGAAGACAGAACTGTGCTCACAGTCTGAATCCACTAAAGAAATATGAATCTGAAAGTAGCTATGTTAACAGCAAAATGGAATCTTCCACCTGGTTTGGGCACTGGTGGGGACAACCAAAACAGATTACAGAAGAGAGGGAGGGTCTGGAAGGATTCATTCTGGGTTGGGGAAGGGAGTGGCGAGCCCCTGGTGTGGTCTCTTAATCCCTGTTCTGGGTTAGAGTAAGGGTGGTTTCTGGCAGATGGCCTTCACAGGACAGTAGAGGTTTGGTCCTGTAGGCCAGAGGACATTTGACCCTGGCTTTGACTCAGCCTGGCATAAGGCATCAGTGCCCTCCAGTTATAACCCCTCCACAAGACCTAGGGCTCCCAAGACCACAGTGTGCCTTGGTTGGCCCCAGGGCCTGTTTCTGGTCTGGGGGCTCTGCAGCCACCTCTCTGCTCTCCAATGCTGGGGGACCTAGGAAGCAGGGCGATTCAGAGGTCCCAGTTCAGATCCCAGGTCTGCCCCTCCTACTTGCGTGATCTTGAAGAAGCTCCAACGCTCTGTTTCCCTATCTATGAGATGGGGATATTGGGACCTGGCCAACTCCTGTTCAGAATGAAACCACCCATGAAGTGCTTTGGCAACTGGCAGTTGAGGATGGAGACCCAGAGGGACCCTTGCCCCACCCAGAGATCTATTTACTAAAGGCTGGAAAGGCATCCCTGCTGTTCCCTGGATGGCAGGGCCTGCAGCCCACCCTCCTGTTGAACCGGGGCTTAGGCTTTTCTTCACTCCCTCCAGCCTGTATACTGGGCTGTGGATGCCCTGTGGGGCCACCTCCCAGACAGGGACCCTTTCCAGATGCCATCCTGAACCTCTCCCCAGAAGCAGTGTGGTCTGTGTGGTCTGTGTCCCCATACTTCTGTCCTCTCCCCAGGCATTGTTGAAAAAGTACCATTGTCTATTGCCTGCCTAGACCAATTCAGTCGGCATCCCCAGAGGTGGGGCTCAGACAGTGGTGTGTTTTTAAAGCTCCCCAGTGATTAGAGTGTTCCAGTAGGTAGCCAGGATGTGAGCCCTATGCTAGGCATCTTGCAACCCCAGCATCTCCCAAATATCAGGCCTGCTTGCCGTGAGCAGAGTTTGAAGGTGGCCATTCTGTCTCAATCCCCATGCCTCCCATCCGCCAGGAATGGGCTCAGGCTGTGCCGTGTCTGGCTGGTTGAGAGGTGTTTGTCCCAAGTCCTCAGGCCTTCGTGTAGCCACCGGGATCTCTTTGGTACTGCCTTCCCCCAGGCTCCTCAGAGGCAGACTGAGCGATTCTGAAGTTTTCCAAAAGTTTATAGCTGGAATCCCATTACGCCCATCATGGGAATACTGGCTATTTCAGCTAATCAGAAGCTCAGCTTGGTGGTCATGTATAGTTTTGATGAATAAAAATGGACAAATAATTGTTACTTAGCAAGTGGAGCTTGGCAGGCTGGAGATTTTAAAAGGCCAGGTCTCCGGCTGGGGGGATGACAGTGGGCATCCCAGCCATGAGGACAGCAGCCACTCCTGTCCAGCTCCTCTCTGTTGCGTGAATGTGTGAAACCTTGAGCCAGCACCTGGGTCTCCTAGAACCTACCATACCACCAGCTAGACTGGCCTGACTGGCTGGCCCCGGGCATTGTCTGCATGTGGCCTGCGCTGCAGGTCTTCAGTCACTTACTAAGAGTGCAGAGAGAATTGAGACCCCTGCTCTGCGTGGGTGGGAGAGCAGCCCCCTCCCCAAGATCTACCTCCTCGCGCCCCCGCCCGCCATTCGGCCTCACCTTGGGCAGGCCTGACCTCATCCGGCAGTCATTGATTTCCTACCTTTGATGTCTCTCTCTGTGTGCTTCTGCACACCCTAGCCAAATTGATTTTCTTAAAGCATCTCTTTGCACATGCCACCACTCTCCTTAAAGCCAACCCTCAGGGGCTTTTCTGCACATAAGCCCCCATTTCAGCCAATCTGGTTTGCTCCTTCTGAACAGACCACAGGGGGTTCACGCCACCCTGCCCAGATGCTCCCCCCTCTCCCAGCTTCCCTTACCTCATTTTATGCCATTCTTGCATTTTGGAATATGCACTTTCTCCTCCTCCTGGTCCCCCCTCGCCATCTCCTCCTTCCTCTCAACAATTTATGTAACATGGGGATTGAGACCCCCTTTCTGAAGGGTTGACAGATTCTCACATAACCATGGTAGGACCAGGTACTTTTCAAAGTGTGAGCAGTAACTTCTGTTCACATTCCTTTACTGTTTTACATATTTTTAAATCCTTCAATTTATTTAGGTTCTTGAACAGTGTAATATTACAAGAGAACATCCTGGTAATATTTTAATCGTCCTTGGATTTTGTTGTTGTTTTATGTTTGTCTTACATTTTTTTCCTTATGGCAGATGTTGAGTGTTGTAAAGCTCCAACTCTTGATTTGTTGACTAATAGAATGGTTTTGTCGAAGTGTATGTACTCTGTCTGCTCTTTTTTTTACTTCATATTTTACATTTCTGAAATTATTTAGATATAGCTAATCATATTTTTAATGTTTCTAGTAAATGCAGGTACTTTGGTCTAGGACTTTTTTCTTAGAGCTTTTTCTGCACTCTGTCAGTTTGACATGTGCACGTTTTTGTTACCATATGAGGAATTTTCTTTTGGCCCAAGTGTTGTTATTTTTTCTATATTTCCAAGTGATGAATGCATAGGTCATTGCTGTTCTTTCTTACTGTGTTGTGGTGTCAACATTTCTAAGTGTCCATAGAACCTACTCTGGGCCTGAAGATATGATCAATTTTTATAAAGCATTTGTGTACTCTCAAGAAATGGGTTTGTACTCCATCAGTTCTATTTGTTAACTTGTTTTTAAATTACTTTATTCAAATTCATACTTCCTCTGTTGTTTACAGTTCTTAACTTGGGTCTGCAGACTGCCTAGGAGTCGGTGAGCGCGCAGGTTTATTTTAGAGGCAGCATGGAGGAATGGAACAAAACTGGGTGGTTACATGTGTGAAAGAATTGTTTGGGGCTGGGGGTTGGGGGACCTGTAGCATTCACCACATTTTGGAAAGGCTCTGTGAGCCCCAAAATAGTTAAGAACACTCATTGACATGATCAAATCATAGTCTGATTTTGTGTTTTTTACTTTATTTCTGTTTCACTTAAATTTGCTTCTGTTTTCTGTTCGTTGTTGCAATGTTAGATGTGCACTTTTCTCAAATCCTTTTTGAGAAATAGGGTTATCATTAAGTAAGTACTAGGATATTTGGAGCATATATATTTAATAGTAATATATTGAAAATTTGTGCCTTTTAGTGCCCTTTGCCTCTTTTAATTCTTCTAGCTTGAATTTTTCTTTTCCAGACACCATAATTGAAGCCCCTTGCTTTTTTCAATTTGCATCTATCTGCATGAGAGTTGATTTTGCTCAGCATTTTCAAAATTTGTGTATATATTTTGCTGTATAACTTATAAACAGCAAAGTGTTGGATTTTATTTTCTTATTTCTGTAATTTTTCTTTTTATGCAAGAAGTTCTCATATCACAGTTTAGAGTAAGGCACAATTTATCTTCATACCTCTATTTTAATATAGATGAACTCATTTAACCCAAAAAGGCCATGCTCATTTAATGTCCATCTTTAGGAGTTATTCACCATGTGTGGAATTTTATTTCTGGGGAGGCTGATGGTCTGCCGTTGGGCACACCTGCTCCTTCCTGCCTTTGTCAGTGCCAGGCTCTGTCCTGATCCCACTCTTAAAGTCAGCCTCTGGCTTCAGTGCTCTTGGCTCTAACCCGGAGGAATGATGCCACCTCACAGCCCTGTGGAGCTCAGGGAAGATAGAAATACAAACCTGCATGTCAAACTGGGGGCATAGAGGATTAGTACACTATTAGTGTTTTGAAATGTTTCTTTAATTTGCTGTTCTTCCTCCCAAAGTTCTTTCAGCATAACTTGGAATAGTATATTGTGGTTTACTTTTTAGAAAACACTGCCAGATGTAGCGAAGAATTAGACCTCACAGATCCATCCCACACTCCCTGAGTGAACGTGTATGGTAATCTGGATGAGAAGCGGGGAACCTGATCTCATAACCCCCATCCCCATCACCTGTGTGTCCCAGGTGGGTCCCCTTGTCAGCCCTCCCTCTTCCCCTGTGGTGGTGGGGAGAAGCACTGTCACAATTGCAGAGATTAGAGAATATGGTCACTCTGGCCACTCCTGTGGCAGGTGGGGAAACGGAGGCCATGACTTAGCGGAAGTGAGGTGCTTTAGTGTCAGATCTACCCGGCAGCTGTGGCAAAGAACAATTTCAGATGTTATGGTGCAGCCTTGGGCAGCTGTTGCCAGGACTTTTCAGTTGGCAAGTGATTTAGTCACCATAGGCGAAGTGACTAAAGTGAAAACCAAGTAGTCTGTCTGTTCAGAGTTGCTCAGCCCTTGTACAAGTGGACGTCCACATACACATTTGCCAGAATGCCAATGCACAGAATTACTGGGGGTGGGGAGAGAGAAGCCCTTTTCTCGTGGGAGAACTCCATCTTCAGTATCTAATAACCCAGGATGTTGTATCAGAAGGTTGACTGGTGAGTGTGGAATTGGGGTGTCAGGACATGGACCTATCCTTCTGCACCACAGGCCACACACTTGCACAACACTCAGAATGCTGGTGGGGGGCACACGCTGAAGACCCTCCAGTGTCCATGACCTCCTCCCTGGTGGGTGCCTGCCCTCTGAGGTCCAGAGCGCCTTCTGGTGGCGACTTACAGACACATGAAAGGCTCTTAAAGTGAAGTGTCTTTCAATCCCTGCTTCCTTTCTCACCACCCTTATTAGCCAGGCTTCATCTTCTCCCTGGGAATCGCAGAAGCACCACCGTTTCTGCCCTCTGGACCTCACTTAGGTCTTCCAGGTCCTGGAACCCCTGAAGTGAGAGTCACAAGC